TTTTCTTACCTTCATAATTGGAAGACGGCCATAGAAAATAATTAATCATGCATGTTCATAGAGTCTTAGTTTAGAAAGGAAAAAGTATTTACTAACGGGCAGATAATTTCAGAACTGCACATAAATATGTATAATTTCATCTTAATTGCTAAACAATTTTGGAAAATTTGTAAGAATAGGTGCTCAAGTTACGAATATACAATCATGTATGTCAAAAATAGGCGAGTTATTAGCAGGAATAATTATAACCATGAGACTCAGTAGATGAATGACCAAGATATGTGTGAATTATGAAACCGGTTCAATGATTTCGGATTCTTGGATGGTAAGTGTGCAGATTTTCTTACTCATGCTTTTATTTATACTGGTAGTTGGTTGAAAAAAACAAATCAGAGCACACACCATGAGACAAGAAGATTACTTAGACATTTTTTTGGAAAAGGGGCGCAACCCCGGCCTCTGCATCAGAAAGATGCATACGACCACATTTATTAAAAGCAAATAGGTCCAACAAAGGTCTGTAACTCCGTTACATACTAGTCCGCAAAGGGCTCACAAAGAGCATCAAAATAGAAGCCACATCCGGCATGCAACATAACGATAGGAAAACTAATTGCCTATCCTATTACATGACTGCCATCCAAATCGGCTGAATATAGCCCGAGCTATCATCTCCCATCGGGCAGATCCAGTAACCAAATGCTCCCTGGCCTCCGTCTGAGTGAGTAGCGACCACAAACGGATCAACGTGGTAGCCCGGAAGATGACCTGCAAAAAATGAGTAGTTGTTGTTCTGTTAAAACCAAATCATTCCTGCAGTTCCAGACTGCCCAAAGTAAAGCACATACTCCTACAAGAATGTGTTTAGTTGTTTGGGTCTCTATCCCATCCAGCCACGTCCCAAATAACGTGTTGATATTATTCGGAGGAGTAATATTAAACGCAATGTGAACAGTCCGCCAAAGATTACTTAGACATAGGGAACTTGATTTGATTTCTTCAGTCGATTGATCAGTCTCGGTTGAATGAGGAGTACGAAAAATGTATGCACTCTTCTTGTTAAATCAGCTGAGCACCATGCACCGTTAGCAGACCATATATATATATATATACTACCACGGCCGTTTAGTTTGACCGTCAATATTCATACTTTGACAATACCATGTAGTTTGTATGACACAGAATGTATTATTTGACCGTCTCTATAAAAGCATTCTTGATCCTACATTTTGAGTTTATAAACTTGCTCTTTATCAAAAAATATTCTTTTGAAAGCACTTCCATATGATTATAACTGTGTAACCATCAACTAAATACTTCCTTTACAAAAGTTTTATCATCAAATAGTAAACTTGGACATCCAAACAAAGCCTTGTGGGATTTTTCTTTTCTTTGTGCAAGTTTGTGGTGGGAGATGGAAAAAATTTAGATATTGGGAAGATTGGTGGATTGGTCCTAATTCATTACAAAAATGGTTCCCCAGGTTGTACACATTTGTTTTGACAAAAATAAATCTGTGGCAACAACTCTTGAGCAAGGATTACACAATGTCAGGTTCAGAAGAACCTTGCATGGAGAATCCTTGGAGCTCTCGGAACATAGTAAAAATGCTTGTGAGAATGTGAGCTTGAATGAGAAAAAAGATGTGATTAGAGCAACTCTAGCAGACCCCGCAAAATCTTGACCCGCAAAACACGTTTGCAGTTTCACAAAGATCTCGTTTCCGGGTCGAAAACTAGCGCAGCCGAACAGAAACTGTAGATGAAACTGCATAATTTGAAAATATAGTTTCGCGGGAAGTTCATACTACATACTACATGATCAAGCACTGCAAACACCAGTTCATACTACATACTACATCAGTATTAGTACTAGGGGGCTGGGGATCTAACGGCGGCGAGCTCGCAGCCATGGACGGCGCCGTGGAGGAGCTCAATCCTCCTCGCCGGAGCTGCAGAGGTCGATGTACTTCGCCCTCTGCTCCTCGCGGATGCGCCGCCACTCATCGTCCTTCTCCTTGGTGGCGCGGTTGGCCGCGACCGCCTGCCGCCACTGGAGGTCTTCGAGCTCCTCGGCGTGGCGCCGGCGCTCCGCCTCCTCGCGCACGCTCCGCTCGGCAATGGCGGCCGCAACCGCGTCGACGTCGGCGACGTAATCCTCCGGCCCGACGACGCCGCGGCGGCCGAGCTCCTTGGGCTCCTCGCACTCGGGGTCGCTTCCGCCGCCAGATCTGTTGCCGGAGCCGCGTCTGGAGCTCCACATGCGGCCCCACATGGCAGCTGGAGGCGGGAAGG